TTCCTCATAGTAATCATGAAAAAGCACACCAATATACTAAAAGGTACAGTAGAGACACAGATATGAAAAAGAACATGTGACGTGGTGGGGAAAAGTGTGAATAGACATATGGAGAAGCACTGGGACATAATGAGAGTTGGGTGCCTTACACCATGGTCAGTGTCCTCAACTTTGAGCTAAGAGCTAATGAGGTTGGAATTCCTCCTACATATGACCCATGGATTAAGGGACTTTTTCTCTCTGAGCCCCAATACTCCCTCTGTAAAAGTCAGAGACTGAGACACTTCATGGGACTGTTTGGAAGATTAGATGATAAAAAAGCAAAGATGAGAAAAGTGCTTAGTAAGTATCTGGCACATAGTAGGGATTCAACAAAGGGGGATTATCATGTTATCATTGTGAAGGTGAAGAGTTGAATTGGAATGAGTCTGAGCAAACAAGCAATCACAATATTTTAATTGATTATTAACATTTTGCTAATAATAAGTAGATATTTGAGGATTTTCCTAGCAAACTTTTCTCTTAGGCTATTAAGCCATACCTGCAATTACAGGAATGAATCTATTCATTTCCATTCCTGAGACTTAAGGGGATATACCTGGGCAATCTCCAGGGTTCATCTAAATCTCTCTGTTTATAGTTCTGCATAGCATTTGTTTAATTTTGAAACAGAAACAAAGAAAAAAATGGATTAACCACTAAAGTATTTGTTTGATATTCCACATTCTCAACAGCAATCAAAAATATTTTAATTCTTGCACTGGTCAGTGTGGTTCAGTTGGTTGGGCATTGTCCCATGCAGGGGTTGTGAGCTCGATTCCACATAGGGGGCATGCAGGAGGCAGTTAACAGATGTTTTGATCTCACATCAATATTTCTCTCTCTCTCTCTCTCTCTCTCTCTCTCTTGCTCCCTCCCTCCCTCCTTCCCTCCCTCCCTCTCTAAAACTCAATAATTTTTAAAAAATCTTAATTCTTCTCTAGAGGCAAAAAAACAAGAACATGTATTTATATAATATTTTCATTTTGTCACAGCTCAGATTTCATTTCAAAATCAGAATTCATGTTGTAGAAAACATTCAATATCTCATTACTGAACAAACTCCCATATTCCAACTCCTCTCCTACCCTCATTTACAGTGCCCTAAGAGAGGTGAGCAAGCCCTCACAAATAAAACCAATTCAAACTTTTATTTTTAATAGATAAAACTCTTTTTGCATTTTAAAAAAATCTCATTTCTGTCAATATATCTAGATAACATATCTAGATAAATTCTTTCTATTAAGAACTCTTAAAAGTGAATAAAATAATCTTTATAAATGCGTTGTACAGTATGAACATTCCTCAAAAAATTAAAAAGAGAATTATCATATGAACCAGCAATCCCTTTTCTGGGTATACATCCAAAGAAAATGAAATCAGTACCTTTGAACTCCCACATTCACTGTAGCACTAACCACAATAGGCAAGATGTGAAACAACCTAAGAGTTTGTCCACAGGTGAATGGATAAAGAAATTGTGGAATATATACAATGGAATATCATTCAGCCTTAAAAATAAAGGAAATCCTGCCTTTGCAACAACATGGATAGACCTAGAGGTTATTAATGCTAGGTGAAATAAGACAGATAGAAAAAAAGTACTGTATGATCTTACTTATAAGTGGAGTCTAAAAAAGTTCAACTCATAGAGGCAGAGAGTAGAATGGTGGTTCCTAGGGGTGAAAGTAGGGGGAAATAGGGAAATGTTGGTCAAAGGGTACAAACTTTCAATTATGTAGGATGAATCAGTTCTAGAGATCTAATGTACATTAGGCTGACTATAGTTAATAATACTGTATTGGAGAGAATTAAAAATGGCGGCAGAGTAAGTGGATGCTGCATGGACATGCTCCTAGGAACAAATTGGTATTACAACTAAAATACAGAAAAACTTCCTGAATAATCAACGGAAAGCTCTCAGGAGAGAACCCTGATACCCGAGAAACTACATAGAGACTGATAGGAGGGGTGGAGGTGTTAAAAGTTTGGCCAGGCACCCACAGGGAGTAACTGAAGTCCCGAAGAGATATCTCAGCTGTGGGGGGTTGCCACTGAGAACTCTGATATCTAATCCCCAAGCTGGGCCCCACAGCAAAGAGCACCAAAACTGAGGAGAGTACCCACATAACATCTGGCTGTGAAAAGCAGTGGGGTGCTGTCTGCCAGGGAGTAACAGCTGAAAATTCAGGCACCCTCTTAAAGAGCCAACACACAAAATTTCCAACACACAAGCCATGCACCTTGTGCTCTGACAGGAAGAGTGAAGTGGACTGGAGCTGTGAGAGCAGAAGCCAGGACTGAGACTTGGGGGATAGAGCTCAGAAGGCAGACACCCCAAGTTTCCTGGGCTGAGTCATTCCCTCCTGCAGCAGAGGACATCTTTCCCACATAGACATTTGCCTTGCCTGGGGGGAAGACAGTTGACACAACTTACTGGAAAATACCTTGCCCTAAAGTCACTTAAGAGATTAAAAATAACAATTAACTCCAGGCAGAAGAAACTGCCCCACCCTGTTGGAAAAAACTCTCACCACACCTGAGGACACTTGCCTAGGGGACAATTCAAGTCAGAATCCTATCAGTCTATAGACAGAGGCAGTCTCTGGTGGGAATGCAGACTGGTGCAGCCACCTTGGAGAACAGTATAGAGTTTCCTCAAAAAACTAAAAATGGAACTCCCATTTGACCCAGTGATCCCACTTCTAGAAATATATCCCAAGAAATCAGAAACACCAATCAGAAAGAGTATATGCACCCCTACGTCCACAGCAGCACAATTTACAATAAACGTTGTTTTTGTTTCTTACCATTTGCAATAGTATGGATAGAACTGGAGAGCATTATGCTAAGCAAAATAAGCCAGTCAAAGAAAGATAAATATCACATGATCTCACTCATTTGTGGAATATAATGAACAACATAAACTGATGAACAAAAATAAAACCAGAGGAAAATATTATTTTAAAAGACTTTTTACTTATATAATAAAAGTAATCCTGTTATTTGCAGATTTTTAATATTTCCTACAACTTTTGTGATATTACACTATGTTAGTACAGTTTTGGTAATATTATTGTATTTAAAAATCTTTTTCTTGAAATATTAATGCTTATTGCATGTAACATTTTATTTAAAATAGTTTTTCTTAAAAAAATAAAATGATAGAAAATATAATAATAATAATAATAATAATAATAATAATAATAATAATAATAATAATAATAATAATAATAATAATAATAATAATAATAATAATAATAATAATAATAATAATACTGTATTGAATATTTGAAAGTTGTTACAAGGGTAGATCATAGGTGCTCTCACCAAAAAAAAAAAAATTATGTAAGGAGATGGATATGTTCATTAGCTTGACTGTAATAATCATTTCACTGTATAAAACAACACTGTAAATATACTAGTACATAATTTTTATTTTTAAATTGAATAATATTTAAAAGAAAAAATGTGTTTTAAATGCTACCTGAGCTGAAAGAAAAGTAAAGCAAATCCTTGAAGGCCAGAAACAGAAAATAAATCCACAGAGGGTATCTAGTATTCCAGCTGGAATTTGCCACGGTGCATCTATTTACCAACAAACATTTTTTTTTTTATAATAGGCCAGATCACAAATATTTTAAGTTTTTCAGGGAGTACATACTCTGTTGCATCCATTCAACTCTGCCATTGTGTCATGAGAGCATGCATAAATAGTATACAAATAATGGGTATAGGCCTGTTTCAATAAAACTTTATGTAAATAGGCAGCAGGCAGAATTTAGCCTTCAAGCCATAGTTTGCCAAGCCCTTCTTTATAGCCTGGCTTTTAGTATTTTTCCCTCAAAAAAACATGTCTGGTATGACACATTTGTCCCATGTAGTAAACTGTTGTAGGCATGGTCACAATATCTTCACATCTCCCTGTACATATGCCTTGGAGAGTTCCTCTCACAATGACTCTGGGATACACCATATGACTTGTTTTGACCAATGAGACAATAATAAATGTAACATCAAAAGAGACTTGAAAGTACTAGCAGAATGGGGCTTGTCCTCTCTTGCTGGTCCTAGAATCTCAACATCCATCACCATGTGAATTAGCCCAGGCCAGCCTGCCAAAGACACATGGTCCATCATCCCCATTATCCCAGCCAATAGGAAGCATTAACTGACAGTCAGCACCAGTTGCCAGACATATAAATGAAGCCATCCTAAACCAACTAGCCCGGGGCAACCCACCAGTTGACCGTAAGTCCCATGAGTGAGTCTAGATGAAACCAGCAGAAGAGCTGCCCAACTGAGCACAGCCTAAATTGTTGAACTACAGAAGCATAAGCTAATGCTGGGAGCTGGTCTATCCTTGCTGTTTCAAGGGACCTGGCATATATGGCATACTGTTCTTAATATGTTTGCTCACCTTTTAGCCAAGGTCACCTCTCTGAGAAAGGTTGTTTCCCCAGGTAGGGATTTTCCCCTGAAGTTAGGGAGGGAATAAAACCTCTTAACTAAGTGCCAGGCGGGTAATTAATCACTTTAACTACGAACAATCATGCAACATGGACACAGAACTTGGCTGGAGATTGTGGCTAGAGATCCTGGCAAGGCTGCTGATCAACTGAACGCTGTCTCCGTCTCATTCCTTCTTCGCCGACTCCGTCCACACCTTTGGGGACCCCTGGACCTGCTGGGGCTGGACCCCAGCAAGCTAATATATGATTGTTTTAATGATTACATTTTTGGGGTTATTCTGCAGCAAAAGCTAAATTATACATTCCATAAGAAGTTTATTATCTCCTAAAAGTAAAAAGTTAAAGTCAACAAGTCTATGGACAGGAATGGGAATAGAAGACTGAGGAAGCACACAAAAAATGTATTTCCATTTTAAAGATCCTATCATCTGCCAGCAGGGACAAGCCCTTCCTTGTTCCTCCTCATATGCTGGAACAAATTCTTCCTACCTGAGCAGACTTCTTGGTAAGTCGGATTGGAAGTGTAGCCTCCTGCATAGCCAACTTGAGTTGAATACACTCCTTTCAGGGTCCAAAATTTCCTCTCCGCTCCCCAGAAACAGCCCATTCCTAAGAAAAATATAAAATACTGATTAGTCCTTTATCAAAAACTAGAGGCCCAGTGCACAAATTCATGCACACGTGGGGTCCTGCTGGTCCACCCCAATTGGGGCCGATTGGGATTGGCTGGCCAGGGAGGGGAGGGGTTGCAGGAGCTCGATCAGGGTAGGGGGGCAATGGGCCTGGTTAGGGGAGGGACCATCGGTGGTTGGCTGGCTGGCCCCGCTTCCTGGTCAAACTCCTGGTTTGCTGAACTCCTGACCAAGGGGACAATTTGCATGTTAGCTTTTATTATATAGGACTAGAGGCCCAGTGCATAGATTCATGCACCAGTGGGGTCCCTCAGCCTGGTCTGAGCCTTCCTGAAATCCGGGACCCCTTGGGGAATGTCGCACTGCCAGTTTCGGCCCGATCCCTGCAAGCCAGGCCGAGGGATCCCACTGGTGGACGAATCCATGCACCGGACCTCTAGTATGCATATAAGATCTTTGGTTAATTTCTTCCCACCTTCCCCATTCCCCCTTCCCTCTGAGATTCATCAGTCTGTTCCATGTTTCCATGCCTGTGTGTTGAGCGTCTGCCCCCTAGTGGTCAGTGCATGTCATAGCTATTGGTCGAACAGTTGAACAGTCGCTTAGGCTTTTATATATAGAGATAAAATAGTCATTGCACTGTTTCACTAGAAAAGAGAACCTGTTCCTGTGATTTAATAATAAAAAATAACTCAGATTTTATCATTTAAAGAAGAGGTTGTAACATTTAAAAATAATTTTATTTAAGATTCTTTGCATAGAATGTCTCTATGCTTTAGTTTGAAAAAGCATAGAAAGCCTAACATTTCAATGAAGTTAGTAAAGCTACACTTTTCCAAATAACAGTAAAAGGATAACTGCTTTTGATGAATGATTTCCTCACTTGATTCATTATGGTCTCATCAAACCATAATAACTTGTATTAATATTAGAAAGTTATTTAACAATCAGTATCCTTACCATGCTTTTCAAAAAAAAATTCTAACAGGGAAAAGTAACGCTAAAATACTGATTTAAAAGGGAGACCTTCCCCAAATCAACACAGACTGACAAAATATTTTATTAACAATTTCACATATGTGCTCAGTTTTTTAATTTTTTTAACGTCATAAACCTTTATGTGATAGATCACTGCTCCCTAAAAAGAACAATTTCCAGAATTCTATTACTGAGTGTAATGAATGAGGGAAAAGAGAGAGCAGAAACGCAGGGAAGGTAGGAACAAGAAAACAAAGGAACTCACAAAAATAGCATTGCAATCAAACATGGTGCTCAAAACAGTAGATACTGGATTCCTTTGAACATATGAAAACTAAGCCCCATCTCTCATGAATGCACATACACACATCAAAAATGATGACTTATATTTCCCTTGGCTCTACCACGAGTTTCTAACTGTGCACAACGGCTATCTGTGGCCAATTTCTAGATGTAAACAAGATGCCTGCCTCACTCCAGTTTTATATGGCACTATTAAGTCATGTATAATTAAGATCCTGGTTGGAACAACAGTTGGCAAATTAATATATGCCTCCTACTATGATCACTATATTTGTTAGATTTGATGACAGAGCTGAAAGAAAAAATAGATAGAAGTTTACTGAAATTTTTGACAATTGTTAATATTCTACTTTAAATATTCAGAGCAACAATAACCAAAAAGCAATGTGCATAGCATTACATATTACACAAAAATATATTTGCTCAAATGTGATGGGAAATATACTAACCAAAAATAGGTTAATAGGTTAATAGTTAAAAATATACAATAGAGCCAAATGATGAAATTTAATGCAGTAAAAAAATTACTGTTGTAATAACAATGCAACATGGAAATATGTATATGCTTATGTCATTATTGCCTAAAGCTAAATTTACAAAGAAAAAACAATTATGTGCATGTTTTTATTACAACTATGAAAATATATTCATACCAAAGTAGACTAGAAAAAATATACAGTTATAACTGTATTACAGTGATGAGAATATAGAAATATTTTTTTACTTTTGAAACTTTTCTGTAATTGAGTCATATTACTTTAAAATGAAAAATGTATACATTTTTAAAAGGAAAACAAAAAATTCAAGGAAAACATAAGCATAATGCATTACTTGAGTTATACACTGCTACATACCAAGCTCCTGTTTGCAAAGGAAATGTCTGCTGCTAGTGAATATAACTAAATATTTACTGAGTATTTATAAAAATTGAGTATCCTCAAGTCTCTGGAACAAGAATTCACTATTAATTTTATTTCATTGCATTCCTGAGATGTGGGAATTATGTTAGGGTTCTCAAGAGAAACAGAACCAAAAGGAGGGAGGGAGGAAAAGAGGGAGGGAAAAAGGGAGGGAGGGAGGGAGGGAGGAGGGAGAGAGAGAGAGAGAGAGAGAGAGATTTATTATGAGAAATTGACTCCCATAATTATGGAGGTTGAGAGGTTGCCCAGCTGTAGTCTGAAAGCTGGAGACCTAGGAAGTTGTACAGTGTTCCAAGCTGAAGGCACCCTGGCCCCTGAAGTTCATAAGTCTGCAGTGTGGGTTGAATAAAATATTTCCATGTTGCACAATAACTAACAGTGATGGTACCAAAGTGCACTGCAAGTATTCTACGCACAGGTACATGACTGGCTATTTTGCAGCCTGGCTACCCTGACCATTGTCTTACAATCCCATACAGATGGCCCCAGACTCTATATCCTCTATAACTTCACTACATCCTCATGGTGTAGATTTATAAGACTTAAATGATTTTTGCAAAACCAAAAATATGTGCTCTAGTAGAGAGCTATTTAATCCCCACCTTTTCCCCCACTTTTTTATTTATTTTTATTACCTGTTGATTCAGCATATGTATATGTTATTTCCAGGAAAAAATAATAAATGTGATAAAAACACACAATTAAACAGAATTGAGGAATAGTAGATTATATGAGTAAGAAACAAGTTAATATATCCATACATTTCCCTTTTTTAAATCTTTATTGTTGAAAGTGTTGCATATGTCCCCCCCCTCTTTCTCCCCAGTGACCTCTTTTAGCATTGACCCCCTATTTAGCAAAAATCAAGACAAGACCCTGCTGGAGGAAGGAAGACCCGGCTCCAGCTGGGCAAAGGCCTCCAGGGGGCCTACGTGTGGCTGAAATAATGCCTCAGGAACATGGTGTATATTAATGGCAAATTTTCTAGAGAGGTACTTACTTAGGATAGGGGTTGTCGTAAGAATAAAACTCCTCCTTGAAGCAATACGATGTTTTATCTAGTACCTTCCATTACAACCTAAGCATTCTATTATTTGGTTTTGAGTGTGTGTGTGTGTGGGGGGGGGGGGTAGTTAAACAAAGAAAACAGGTTTATTTTGGCAAAGTACTCAGAATTTATAATTGTCTAGTCCACAACATGAGTATCATCAAAGAAGATACAGTATGCACTATTTTCTTTAAAATATTTTAATCTTTTATTATAAAGTAAAACACGGATACAGAAAAGCCACACAAAACAAATGCATATTTCAATCCATTATTTTTAGATAGATGCCCCATGTCAGTTGTGTCTCAAAAAAGATGGAAAATTTGCAACCAGAACTTTGCCACCCACCCAAGAAATCTCTCTTTGTACCACATCCCAATCACAAGTGTTTCCCTTCCCCACAAAGTAACCATTATCTGACTTTGATTGTGATCATTTCTATATATATCTTTATATTTTTATCACTCAAGGTACCCATCCTAATTTTTTTGGTCTTGCTCAGTTTTAACAATTTGATGTCCTTTAAGTTCTTCTTTTTTATTATTTAAATTTTTTATTGTTTAAAGTATTACATGAGCCTCCTTTTTCCACCATTGACCTCTCCTGGGCCGCTCTCACTCCCCAGCACATGCCCCCACCCCCCTACTGTCTGGGTCCATTGGCCGTGCTCCTATTCATGCATACAAGTCCTTTGGTTGATCTCTTACTCCATGACCTGCCGCCTTCCCTCATAGGTTGGACAGTCTGTTTGATGCTTCTATGTCCCTGGTTCCATTTTTCTTCATCAGTTTATGTTGTTCATTATATTCCACAAATGAATGATATCATGTGATACTTATCTTTCTCTGACTGGCTTATTTTGCTTAGCATAATGCTCTCCAGTTCCATCCATGCTGTTGCAAATGGTTAAGAATTCCTTCTTTTTTACAGCAGCATAGTATTCCATTGTGTAGATGTACCACAGTTTTCTACTCCACTCATTTGCTGATGGGCACTTTAGGCTGTTTCCAAATTTTAGCTATGGTAAATTGTGCTGCTATGAACATAGGGGTGCATACAAGTTCTTTTCATCTACAAGATCCCTCTCCATTCTTTTCCTTTTAATTTATCCACTGAAGAACATGTGGGCCCGTTAACCTGCAGTGTCCCACAGCAGGGGTCCTCAAACTACGGCCCGTGGGCCACATGCAAATACAAATATTGTATTTGTTCCCGTTTTGTTTTTTTACTTCAGAATAAGATATATGCAGTGTGCATAGGAATTTGTTCATAGTTTTTTTTTAAACTATAGTCCGGCCCTCCAAAGGTCTGAGGGACAGTGAACTGGCCCCCTGTTTGAAAAGTTTGAGGACCCCTGTGAGGAACAGTGTGGATTTAGTTATTTACATTCTCATGATGCAATTCACCTTGTTCCTCTGTCCTCAGTATTTCCTGCAAATTTGGAGCTGGATCCAGGGGCTTTATCAGACTCAGATTTCATCCTTTGGCAAAATTATAGGTGGTACTATGTTCTTTTTTTTATTTTAAAAATTTTCCATCTTTACTGAGATACAACTGACATGGGGCACTGTGTAAGTTTAAGGTATACAATGTGATAATTTGACACACATATATATTGTGAAGTTGTTATAATAAAGTTAGTTAACACATCCATCACCTCACATAATTACATTATTTATAGTGAAAACATTTAAGATCTACTGTCTTAGCAACTTTTAAGTGCAAAGG